GAAATTAATATATTATTAAAATTTTTTGCTTTTAAAAATGTATATTAGAGATAAATTTAGAGTGGTCTTATAGTGAAAACACATAGTGACTATTTGGAATTAGGGGTCTTTTTTGCAGTATGAGGCCATTTCTACATACATATTATAATTCTTCTATTTAAGTTATTATATTTTTCAACTCCAGAATTTCATTTGATTCACTTTATGAATATTCTCTATTTGATGAGACATTGTCATCATATTTCTTTTACTTCTTTTTTTTTTTTTTTATTACTTTTATCTTTTTCTTTTTTTCCCTGTTTAAGAAGTTTGATCTTTTACTTCTTTCATCAAGCTTTCCTTTATTTTTTTTATTTTTATTTTTTCAAAGAATGGAAACAGTAAAGCTTTCCTTTAGTTTTTTTGTTTTTTTTTGAGACAGAGTCTCGCTTTGTTGCCCAGGCTAGAGTGAGTGCCGTGGTGTCAGCCTGGCTCACAGCAACCTCAAACTCCTGGCTCAAGCGATCCTGCCTCAGCCTCCCAAGTAGCTGGGATACAGGCATGCGCCCCATGCCCAGCTAATTTTTTCTGTATATATTAGTTGGCCAATTAATTTCTTTCTATTTATAGTAGAGACGGGTCTTACTCTTGCTCAGGCTAGTTTCGAACTCCTGACCTCAGCAATCCGCCCATCTCGGCCTCCCAGAGTGCTAGGATTACAGGCGTGACCACAGCCTGGCCAGGAACTGAATTTTTAATTTTAATTTAATTTTAAGTGGCTGTCATTGACAAGTGTAGCCCTTGATATAATCTCCATTCCATATTTACCATTAGCCAGTTCTTTGCTTTCTTTCTTCTCTTTGTTGCAGACCTGAGAGTACTTATTTTGGATTTAGGGAGCTGGTTCAGGGAGCTGCCAAGCAGGCCTTCAAGTTCAGCTTAAAAACTTAACCCATTCTGCTTTCCTTTTTATCTAGTCGCTTCTCATCCCTTCCATATTCCTTTCTCTCTGCTTTTTTTAAAGTCACTTTATTTATGTGTATAACACCTTTAAAGTTTATCATTTTAATTAAAACTGTTGTGAATAATAAATACACTTTTATTATCTCAGTAGACACCTCTTGGGTGACCAATATGGAATAATAGTTCTGTTAATTGAAAAGCTTCACTAAGGACAGGACAGGACAATGGCATGTTTTCTCCTGCTGCTTCCTTCCTGAAAATTCTAGTACCTAGGGCTGAGTAAGAAAAAATTTATAGTCTTTTTCTCTGTTTGCATTCTAGAATTTAGCTGAATTTGTGCTATTTTCTTCTTTCCCTTGGGAGTTTTATTACACGGTCCTTCTTGTATTTTTTCCCTAATTCTTTCCCTTTTGTTAGCAATAGGCCAAGGCTCATTCCTAGAGTCTTTCCCTTCTCCTTCTAGATTTAGTCTCCTAGGAGTTCATCCTTTCTCTAACATACACACTTCACATTCACACTACTTTTGCTCTATACCAGTTCTTGTTTAAATGATTAAATTGTTCTTCACTGATATCCCTATCTTCTCCTTCCAGTGTATCCTTTATACTTCCATTAGAGTAAACATCCCAAGGATTTCCTCAATCATATCACTTTCCTACTTAAAATTTTGATGAATTCCATTTGCCTGCACATTATATACCCAACAATTTAATATGACATTTAAGGCCTTCCTTAAGCTGACTCCAACCTATGTTTTCATTATTTTCTCTTGCCATCTGCTTCAGCCATACCAGACTTGTTTCCCTAATACCTATGGTACTTTCTTCCCTCTTTGCATTGTTCAACATGTTCTTTTTTACCTAATGTGCATTTCTTCTTCCTATTATATCAGTTCTTCAAGGCCTAATTTTTTTGTCTTCATTTGAATGTCTAGGTATTATTTTAGTGAAACATGTTCTTAGATTGTTAAATACTCTCACTTTTGCTTTCTTTTTCTTTAAAGATGTTTTTAATTAATTTTTCATTTTCATTTTTTTTAAGTAACTGGACACTGAACAATAAAGATGTTTTTAATTATAAATTTGAGGCTGGGCATGGTGGCTCATGCCTGAAATTCCAGCACTTGTGAGGCTGAAGCAGGAGGATCACTTCAGCCCACAAGTTCCAGACAGCCTGGACAAACAGCGAGACCCCCATCCTACAAAAAATTAAAAATTAGCCGGCATGGTGGTGCCTGCCTGTAGTCCCAGCTACTTGGGAGGCAGACGTGGAAGGATCTTTTGAGCCCAAGAGTTCAAGGCCAGCCTTGGCAAATTAGTGAGACCCTGTCTCTAAAACAAACAAATAATACTAAGGAGAGGCAGAAATCATTGATTGCCAGAGACGGGTGGGGGAGGGTGGGAGTGATCAACCCAAAGAGGTTTAAAAGAACTTCTGGGTTGGTACAAAGTCATGTAACTATCACAATTAAGATATTGAATGTCATGGCACTTTAGAGATGTTAATAAAAAAAAATAAAAAAAAAAAAAAAAAAAAAAAAAGATATTGAATATTTGTACCACCCCAAGAAGTTCTTTTAATACCTCTTTGGGTTGATCACTCCCACTCTCCCACCACCCCGTCTCTGGCAATCAATGATTTCTGCCTCTCCCTTAGTATTATTTGTTTGTTTTTAGAGACAGGGTCTCACTAATTTGCCAAGGCTGGCCTTGAACTCTTGGGCTCAAAAGATCCTTCCACGTCTGCCTCCCAAGTAGCTGGGACTACAGGCAGGCACCACCATGCCCGGCTAATTTTTTAATTTTTTGTAGGGATGGGGGTCTCGCTTGTTGTCCAGGCTGTCTGGAACTTGTGGGCTGAAGTGATCCTCCTGCTTCAGCCTCACCAAGTGCTGGAATTTCAGGCATGAGCCACCATGCCCAGCCTCAAAATTTATAATTAAAAACATCTTTATTGTTCAGTGTCCAGTTACTTAAAAAAAATGAAAATGAAAAAATTAATTAAAAACATCTTTAAAGAAAAAGAAAGCAAAAAGTGAGAGTATTTAACAATCTAAGAACATGTTTCACTAAAATAATACCTAGACATTCAAATGAAGACAAAAAAATTAGGCCTTGAAGAACTGATATAATAGGAAGAAGAAATGCACATTAGGTAAAAAAGAACATGTTGAACAATGCAAAGAGGGAAGAAAGTACCATAGGTATTAGGGAAACAAGTCTGGTATGGCTGAAGCAGATGGCAAGAGAAAATAATGAAAACATAGGTTGGAGTCAGCTTAAGGAAGGCCTTAAATGTCATATTAAATTGTTGGGTATATAATGTGCAGGCAAATGGAATTCATCAAAAATTTTAAGTAGGAAAGTGATATGATTGAGGAAATCCTTGGGATGTTTACTCTAATGGAAGTATAAAGGATACACTGGAAGGAGAAGATAGGGATATCAGTGAAGAAACAATTTTAATCATTTAAACAAGAAACTGGTATAAGAGCAAAAGTAGTGTGAATGTGAAGTGTGTATGTTAGAGAAAGGATGAACTCCTAGGAGACTAAATCTAGAAGGAGAAGGGAAAGACTCTAGGAATGAGCCTTGGCCTATTGCTAACAAAAGGGAAAGAATTAGGGAAAAAAAATACAAGAAGGACCGTGTAATAAAACTCCCAAGGGAAAGAAGAAAATAGCACAAATTCAGCTAAAATTCTAGAATGCAAACAGAGAAAAAGACTTATAAATTTTTTCTTACTCAGCCCTAGGTACTAGAATTTTCAGGAAGGAAGCAGCAGGAGAAAACATGCCATTGTCCTGTCCTGTCCTTAGTGAAGCTTTTCAATTAACAGAACTATTATTCCATATTGGTCACCCAAGAGGGTGTCTACTGAGATAATAAAAGTGTATTTATTATTCACAACAGTTTTAATTAAAATGATAAACTTTAAAGGTGTTATACACATAAATAAAAGTGACTTTTAAAAAAAGCAGAGAGAAAGGAATATGGAAGGGATGGAGGAAGCGACTAGATAAAAAGGAAAAGCAGAATGGGTTAAGTTTTTAAGCTGAACTTGAAGGCCTGCTTGGCAGCTCCCTGAACCAGCTCCCTAAATCCAAAATAAGTACTCTCAGGTCTGCAACAAAGAGAAGAAAGAAAAGCAAAGAACTGGCTAATGGTAAATATGGAATGGAGATTATATCAAGGGCTACACTTGTCAATGACAGCCACTTAAAATTAAATTAAATTAAAAATTCAGTTCCTGGCCAGGCGCTGTGGCTCACGCCTGTAATCCTAGCACTCTGGGAGGCCGAGATGGGCGGATTGCTTGAGGTCAGGAGTTCGAAACTAGCCTGAGCAAGAGTAAGACCCCGTCTCTACTATAAATAGAATACTTGGGAGGCTGAGGCAGGATCGCTTGAGCCCAGGAGTTTGAGGTTGCTGTGAGCCAGGCTGACACCACGGCACTCACTCTAGCCTGGGCAACAAAGCGAGACTCTGTCTCAAAAAAAAAATCAAAAAAACTAAAGGAAAGCTTTACTGTTCTCCATTCTTTGAAAAAAATAAAAATAAAAAAAAATAAAGGAAAGCTTGATGAAAGAAGTAAAAGATCAAACTTCTTAAACAGGGGAAAAAAAAGAAAAAGAATAAAAAGTAAAAAAAAAAAAAAAAAAAAAGAAGTAAAAGAAAATATGATGACAATGTCTCATCAAATAGAGAATATTCATAAAGTGAATCAAATGGAAATTCTGGAGTTGAAAAATATAATAACTTAAATAGAAGAATTATAATATGTATGTAGAAATGGCCTCATACTGCAAAAAAGACCCCTAATTCCAAATAGTCACTATGTGTTTTCACTATAAGACCACTCTAAATTTATCTCTAATATACATTTTTAAAAGCAAAAAATTTTAATAAATATATTAATTTCATTCTATACTTTAATCATAAACTCTATATGCCATTTCTTGAATAATATCCATTCCGATACATAATTAGCACTTCTTTAAAAAGTATGATACTATAAATAACAGGTTGATTATTTAATAATAATATGAAAAATCTTACTGGTCTCACGTCACCACAGGAATTGGTAAATTGTCGAGCCAAGCCAAAATCAAGCATGTAACATTTCCTACATGTACTGGGAAAGCGACCCATGGCGAAGTTCGACTAGAAAAGTAGGGGAAAATATATATTAATACATTGTTACAATACTTAGTTCTTTTATTTTACCCTTCCTATATTTTAATTCCTCTTCTATTTAAACTCTATATAACACACATGTTCCAAGTATACTATTCTAATCAATGATGTTTACTAGATGTCAATATAAAATTTAGTAGGGGGTTTTATTAATGCCTAGCATCAGGTAAACTTTCAGCAAAAAATGATTTAAATGACTGTACAAAGTTACACACAAGACAACATTAACTTGACTTGGAATTTTAAGTTCCTTAATATTCTAGTCTAAGTCACTGCTTAGATGACAATCCAATCCCTACTTTTTAAAATAGAATAAACTAGGAATGGACAGAATATATATAGATAGAGAAATTTAAAAGAAGTTCTTATAGGCATGATAAAGCTGAATTTCACTAAGTCTAAAATTAAAATACAATTTAAGGAAACATTTCAAAACAGACTTAAGGAAAACACACTTTGCATTCTTCCCTTAATGAAAATCAATGTAATGTTAAATGACTATAAACTCACAAAGATGGGTACCTAAGAGGATTTGCGAAAGTAAAAGCCAAATTGTTACAGAATTATTAGCATTACTTTTAAAATACTGTTCTATGTATGAAGCTTTCTTATGAAAATGGAAACTCTTCAATCACCTTGATTCTCAAATAATGACACTTAGAAATAAGAGCAGGAGAAATACCACATCACACTAAATCTGACTCTACCATGTTAAATTTAGCTGGCATTTTCATGTAAACTAATTTTAGAAGTAATGCAACAACAGATGGCTATACTTTTCAATGTACCAACATATAATAAATTTATAGTAAATACAGTATATCAGAAATGGGTCATTTCCCCTCATGAATAAAACACCAAACAAAAAAAAGCATATTTCACAGTTATGGAAACTACAATTTCTAAGAAGAACAGAATAGCAAAAAACCCACTATGATTCCACAGCAGCACTGAGGAGAAAAATAAAGTCTTTCACAATTGATGATTTCTTTTTTTTTTTAGACAGAGTCTTACTCTGTCTAAAGTGCATCAGCCTAGCTCACAGCAACCTCCAACTCCTGGGCTCAAGCAATCCTTCTGTCTCAGCCTCCCAAGTAGCTGCAGGCATGTGCCACCATGCCCAGCTAAGTTTTTCTATATATATTAGTTGGCCAATTAATTTCTTTCTATTTTTAGTAGAGATGGGGTCTCGCTCTTGTTCAGGCTGGTTTCGAACTCCTGACTTTGAGCGATCTGCCCCCCTCAGCCTCCCAGAATACTAGGATTACAGGCATGAGCCACTGCGCTTGGCCAATGATTTCTTATAAATACAATTTGTGACTAGAGAAATAGTTCAAACAACACAATGCAAACATCTAAAGCAACATACATATTTTAAAAACCATATCAGAAGAAGTCCAAAGGAATAACTAATAATAAAATAAAATAAATTGTAACCTAAACATTTGTATCCCCATAATATGCTGAAATAAAAATAAACAATAATAATTGAAAAATTAAAAAAAAGAGAAATCCAAAGAATAACTACGAATTTAGACATAAGGCTAAGTAATTAGCAATGTTAACACACATAATAATAATCAAGTATATACTTTTTTTTTTTTAATGAGATGAGGTTTCACTATGTTGGCTAGGCTGGAATGCTATAGTTATTCGTAGGCATATGAGATCATAGCTCACTGCATCCTTAGCTCCTGGGCTCAAGTGGTCCTTCTGCCTGACTCCTGAGTAGATGGGACTACAGGTGCATGCCACTGTACCTAGCCTCATTTTTAATGTGGCTGCCAAGCAACATTTTCATTGTATGAGAAAAGCTCTTGAAAATAAGTTGTAGTTTGTAATTATCACTTTAAAAAACTTAAGATGTAAGTCACATTTTTGCTTCCAGGCCTCTACAAAAATAAAAATAATACCTTGTATTTAACCACAGCAAATATGGAAAGTGACATTGGCAATTTATTGTGTCCGATCATAACATTAAGAATATCAAACTCATTCTGTCCTCTGGCTGGAAAAGGCCCTACCGGTTTAATGTCTCGGTGCAAGAATCCCACAGAATGGATGCTTTCAATAGACTCCAAAATCTGTCTGCCCAGCCGGAGAGTAGTGCTAATGGTGAACGTGCCCCGGGACTGACTACGGCGAAGATCTGCCAGATTCCGACCCTGTGGAAACCAAATAAACACTGTCAAATATGGTACTAAAACTATGTTATAAGAGAAGACTGGGAAATTATTCATTTACACTTGAAAAATGTATTAACTGAAATAGCAAGGGTTTTAACCAAATCATGATCCTCTCATACATACAACAGAAGAGATTCTCTTAATAAGATGAATGTTTCAGACAAATTTAAAAATAACCAGTTTTTTAGCATATCATGTTTCTGATTCAGCACATTTCCCTTTATCTCTCATGTTATAAAATATAGACTTGATTATCTAAAACATAAATAACCAAATGTATATATATAAAATATACATACCCTGAGCAGTAATTCCTCACTACTGCCTAACATATATTCCCATATAAGCTACTTAACTTTCCTCTACCAGTTTCCTTATAAAATAAGACTAATAAAACCTACCTTGCAGAGTTCGTTAGGATTAAAGAAGATACATGTAAAACTTTAGAATATTGTTTGGTATACAGCAGGTACTCAACAAATGCTAACTATTGTTATTATGACCAAATATGATATGACAAATACTCGATTACTCATAGCAGTAAAGCAATGAGCCTGCGCCAAATGTATTACATTCATGACTGCATTTAATCCTCACAGCAACCGAAATAGAAGTTGTGTCTGTTCCTGTTTTACAGATGAGGAAATTGAAGTTCAAAGAGGTTAAATAATGTTAACCTGTTTTCAAATCTCAGTCTATCTGACTCCAAACTATTCTTTTCCTACAGTGCTTTTCTACCATATTTTTTCATGGTGCTGCTCCACACCAAAAAGGTTACTTGTTGCTTAGGTGATAAACCAGTAATCTGAAGAGGAGAGCAGGACTATGATCCCGCAGTTCTACCTCCCAAAGAGTGGAGACACTCCCATTATCACAAGGGGACTTAAATATCCCAATCTCTCTACTTCCCAAATTTCATAATGTATGTGTTGGGGTTACCATGGAACTAAATACAATCACTTCATCTAAAGACAACTGATTTCACTTTTGAAAAAGTAATCAATTCAAGTATCATTCAAAGTAAAATATTAATTACTCTTCAATAATCTAAGAGTTTAAAAATTATAGTAAAGTCAGCAGCCTTTCATGCTTCCTATCTTTTTTTTAAAATGCAGTTTTCCCACAGCATAAATTGGTATTTATCTTTATTATTATTTTTAATCTTAAGGAAGTTTACTGTCTTCTACACCCCTAGTAAATGTAAAATAAATGACAATCTAGAGCAATGAGTTTTATAACCCCATGAGAGTATCTAATAACTTTTACTAGCATTCCAATAGTTTTTCTTCAAAATCAAAATTGATTGCCAAAATATGCCTAATATTAGAACTTTATTATAAATAACCTTTTACCATCATAAAAGCTTTCAAAAAATAAATTAATTTTGACTTATGATATTAGTAATGATTTAAAAGATTTAAGTCTTTTTATTTATTTATTTTTTTTTGAGATTAAAGTCTCGCTTTGTTGCCCGGGCTAGAGTGCCGTGGCATCAGCCTAGCTCACAGCAACCTCAGACTCCTGGGCTCAAGCAATCCTGCTGCCTCAGCCTCCCGAGTAGCTGGGACTACAGGCATGCGCCACCATGCCTGGCTAATTTTTCTATATATTTTTAGTTGGTCAATTAATTTCTTTCTATTCTTAGTAGAGACGGGGTCTTGCTCAGGCTGGTTTCGAACTCCTGACCTGGAGCAATCCGCCTGCCTCGGCCTCCCAGAGTGCTAGGATTACAGGCGTGAGCCACCGTGCCCAGCCAACATTTAAGTCTTTTAAAATGTAAATCTAATGTATCAATTAGTAAAATCTGAAATACCAGGCCAATAAGAATATGGGGAAAAGCATTACTAACATGGTAAAAACAAATAGGTTTGACCCATCAAATTATACTTCAGAGTCAATACTATTAGTGGTTATTATTTATCATAGGGAAAAACTAAAAACAATCTATACAGTAGTCTCCCAACATCCACAGTTTCACTTTCCTGATTTAGGTTACCTGCAGTCAACCATGGTCCAAAATATTAAATGGAATACTCCATAAATAAACAATTCATAAGTTTAAAATTGTGGGCCATTCTGAGTAGTGTGGTAAAATCTCATGCTATCTTGCTCCATACAACCCAGGACGTATATCATCCCATTAGTCCAGTAAATCCATGCTATATACGCTACCTGCCAGTTAGTCCCTTAGTAGTAAACTCCAATAATAGATATAAAAGGTTTGGTGCTATCCCTGGTTTCAGGCATTCACTGGGGATCTTGGAACATATCCTCCTTGGATAAGAGGGGACTTCCGCCAATAAATGAATTGTTAAATAAAATATGGTACAGTCATCTTACTGACCGATATTCAGGCATTTAAAAAATAAACAATCTTTACATATACTAATATAGAATGAATAAAAGAAGCAAGTTCATTTTGTCCAAGTAATTTTATCAATTTAACAAGATCCCAATAAAAATATAAGTGTTTTTTTTTAACTGAAAATTTGAAACAGTCTTAAAAGGAGAAAAAAATAAAATGAACCTCGTGTTTCTATCACTGAGAATTAACAATTATCAATTGATGGCCAATCTTTTTCATTTATTACTATACTCCTCACACACACCCTCTCCTTTCCCATACACACATACTAGTTATTTTCATGTAAATTACAATCAGATCATTTCATCTATACATATATTAAAAAGTACATAAGAGGAAAGAAATAAAATATAAAAAGAAGCTATTAGTAATTCTATTATTGTAAATTTGAATTAGAAACATCAACATAAACCATGACATATTTTTTCTTAAAAATGTATTTCCTGAATCTCTCCACTTGGAAAAAAACTTAAAAGTAATGACCAACCCAACTGCAACGGACATCCAGACGTCTAGATCATGGTCTCTAAATACCATTTTTCCATTAAGGTATCAGAGCTTAATGGAGAAGTAGCTGATTCTAGACTTGGAGCATGAAATGTACAGAATGAGCCCCGTACATGGTGTTATACCAGAAAAGAAGGATGTTATCAAAGACTGCTGTAGTCTAGTTCTGTCAAAATGAATGAGGACCCAACTTGAAGGAAGCACCACTAGCCAAAGACTGGACAATTGGAACATTAAAGAGAAAAACAACTGCAATGACTGAAAGACAACAAATATATATTAAATCCATGAGTTCATGGACTTATAAATTTTCTTTTCTTTTCTTTTTTTTTTTGAGACACAGTCTCACTTTGTCACCCAGGCTAGAGTGAGTGCCGTGGCATCAGCCTAACTCAGCAACCTCAAACTCCTGGGCTCAAGCAATCCTGCTACCTCAGCCACCCAAGTAGCTGGGATTACAGGCACGTGCCAACATGCCCAGCTAATTTTTTCTATATATAATAGTTGGCCAATTAGTTTCTTTCTATTTATAGTAGAGACAGGGTCTCGCTCTTGCTCAGGCTGGTTTCGAACTCGTGACCTCGAGCAATCTGCCCGCCTCGGCCTCCCAGCGTGCTAGGATTACAGGCGTGAGCCACCACACCTGGCCTATAAATCTTTATATGTATTTTTATTAGGGAACCAACTCATTATTCTGAAAATTGATAAATAAATAATCAAATATTAGTACTGTCTTTCCTATATGAAATGGATCCAGGATAATCTAATAGAGGATGGAGTACTTTTTAAAGAAGAATTCTAGCTAATAAATGAAGAAATGATAGAATAGTATATTTGCAACCCCCATTAAAATAATGAGTATAGGCAATGATTACTAATGAGTTGATAAAGCCATTGGTAACTTTATTTACTTATTATTATTATTATTATTTAGACAGAGTCTCACTCTGTTGCCTGGACTAGAGTGCAGTGGCATCAGCCTAACTCACAGCAACCTCAAATTCCTGGGCTCAAGCAATCCTTCTGCCTCAGCTTCACGAGTAGCAGGGCCTACAGGCATGTGCCACCATGCCTGGCTAATTTTTTCTATATATATTTAGTTGTCCAATTAATTTCTTTCTATTTTTAGTAGAGACAGGGTCTTGCTCTTGCTCAGGCTGGTTTCAAACTCCTGACCTTGAGGGATTCACCCGCCTCAGCCTCCCAGAGTGCTAGGATTACAGGCATGAGCCACCGTGCCCTGCCATTGGTAACTTTAGAATGGATGCATTAGGCTGACAATCTCTGAACCCACTGATCAATCTTTTTTTTTTCCCCACTGATCAATCTTAACATCACTAAAAGAGAAACCAAACAATGCCTCCTAATGTGATGCAATAGGAAACACACAACTCACCTCTGAAGTATCCTTGTCAAATAAAAAAAAAAATGAAATCATATCTAATTATCAGTTTATATGAAAAACAGGGGACAGAAGGACATATTAGACACTACCACAGGGAATCAACAAAATCAAGAATATGGTAACTCCTGCATATCAAAAGACTGCATTTTTATAAATGACAGTAAAAACAACAACAAAAAGAAAACTGCAAGAAAATAAAAGATAAAGGGAGAACCAATAGATTAAAAGAGGCTTAAGCTTACTGGCTGGGCACAGTAGCTGGGCTCACAGCCTGTAATCCCAGTACTTTGGGAGGCCAAGGCAGGAGGATTGCTTGAGGCCAGGAATTCAAGACCAGTTTGAGCAAAATCAAGACCACATCACTACAAAAAATAGAAAAATTAGCTGGGCATGGTGGCACATGCCTTTAGTCCCAGCTACTTGGGAGGATAAGATAGGAAGATCGCTTGAACCCAGGAGTTCCAGGTTGCAGTGAGCTACAATGAGGCCACTGCACTTCAGCCTGGGGTGACATAGCAAGAGCAAGACCTTGTCTGAAAAAAAAAAAAAAATCTAGGGAGGGATAGGAAGAAAGAGATATACCTGAAACAATATTAGCTATATACTGATCATTGTTGAACTGAGATGAGTAGATAGTATTCATTATATTAGCTTCTTTACTTTTCTGTATGTTTAATCTTTTTCACAATAAAAAGTTTTTAAAAATATGTCAGGCAATCTAGATCTACATTTTTACTGGTTACAGGACTCAAAACTTTTTTTGCTCCTCACTAGGTAACATGCTTATCACAAAATTTCACCCTTTTGCTAACTAAGGATGCTCATATAAAGCTTCTATGCTGACAGGATATTAGATGAAACTTGGACAAGTCTTGCTAGGAGAATTGAGAAAATAAGTGTGTACAACTGCTTGAATTCTGTAAGATGTTAAGACCCATTTTAATGATCTATAGCTAGAATTTCTACAACAGAGAAAGGGTTATTTCTTAAAAAAATTCAAGGCAGGTATTTTGTAATTGACTCACCAGGAGGAAGGGAAGAAGGTTAACTTAATAATGAATTTCAGGTTTTAGTTAGGTTTGAGTATCTGAATTTTATTAAAATATATGCGGGAGACCTAGTAGTTATGTTTCATATGCCAATTAAGAGAGAGTATAATCTCGCAGTTATAGCAGCTTTATCTTTTTCCCAAATCAAGTCAATCCTAACTATAAGGATAGGGGTTTAATGGGTTAATTTTACAACATGCAAGTCAAATGGAAAGGTTCTTGGACAAGTCCATAGTAGCTTGCCAAAGGCGACAAAGGCCATCACTACCTGATATATACCAGTCCCCAAGGTACTAAGAGCCTTCTCATTTACAGAAAGTAAGATTTTTGGTAAGTTCAAGAATAAAAATGAGTATGTGCTGACACTAAGAGAGACTCTGCAGACTAAATAAAGCTCCTCTCCATAATTCTCCAATCAGTAGTAACCTAAAGACAAAACTGAAGATTTTTCTCTTATTACAGCAAGAATACTGGCCTTAGGATTCCACACCAAGCTTTAATACCCATCAAATGAGTTAGTTCCAGGAAAACCACAAACTTCCTTGAGCTTCAGGCAAAATGGGGATAAAACCTGTCCTCTCTTCCCCATGAGGATATGACAGGATCAAATAAAATGTATTATAAATCCAGATGAAAACTATAAAATATCATACAAAAAGTTATATTATTACTGGCCAAAGTAGAGAAAGCAGGGTCTATATTAATGACCCTCAGGCATAGCTGCTTCAAGAAATAAAACTACATGGCTTAAGAGATAGTGAATCACATGACTCAAAAAGACTTTAAGGCTACAGTCTATAGAGAGGTTGACATTTTTAGATCTAAATCAAATGCTGAAGGATGGCCAAGAGAAACAAAAAAAGCTCTCTGAGAAGGATTTAGGCCAAGACCTATGTCTTTGAAATTACTGTTATTTAGATAAGTTGAAAGAAATTAATCAAATGCCCCAAAAAGTTTGCTAAAGATGAAAGGAAATCATGAGAACTCTAAGATAGGCAAAAGGTGAACTGTGGCTTTTAAACTTTGAGGGTGACTATAGTTTAGGGGCACTTGTGTGTTCAGGGGCAGAGGCAGTGTCAGAGGAAATGGAATGGTTTCCCTCTTCTCCCTGCTGCAGTCATTTTTGTAATATTCCCTTTCTCAATTTCTTTCCTCTGATCCCTCAACCCAACTCCATGTACATCTAAAGGAGAGAGAACAGAGCTATGTTAATGATGGAAAGAGTGAGAGGAATGACATTTTTCCTCTATCTCAATTAATGCTTAAATTTTCAAGTGGTCAGGGTTGGTGTCTGCTATGGTTTAAACATGTCCCCCAAAGCTCACATGTTGGAAACTTAATCTCCAATGCAACAGTGTTGAGATTGTGTGACTTTAAGAAATGATTGATTAGGTCATGAAGATTCTGCGTTCGTGAATGGATTGTCATTAGTGTGGAAGTGGGTTAGTTATCTCAGGAGTAGGTTTCTGTTATAAAGAATAAATTTGGCTCCCTTCTCCACAATCCTTGCACATGTGCATGCTTTCTTGCACTTTCACCTTCCACCATGGGATGACACAGTAAGAAGGCCATCACAAAGCATAGGTCCCTCAATCTTGGATTTCCTAGCCTCTAGAACTGAAAGAAATAAATCTCTGTTCTTCATAAATTACCCAGTCTCATGTATTCTGTAGCAGCATGAAACAGACTGAGACAGTATTTGAGAGCATAAATGGAAAATTGGAATCCCTAAGGAAATCAATGGTGGAAGGGAAAGGGACAAGAAAAGAACAGGACTCACATTATATCTCTCTATCCATACAGGGATTGAAAACTGCAAAAATGACAATCATTGAAAATACAGGTCAACTAAAATAGCTGACAAGGACAACCATTTCATTTTTAGAAAATCTATATCAAGTCTGTTTAAATACAAGTTCCATCTGCACAGTATAAAACATTCTGAGATGATACCAAGAATGTTATTTTTACTCATATCTATAAGTAATTGGGTACTTTGATCAAAACTGAAAGATTTTAAGAGACATTTTCAAAGTAACCTACCTGCAACTGCATGACCACATAGTTGAATCGATCATTCCTCCCACAGCCAATAAATCTACAAACATGGTCTTTCCCTGGATAAAAAAAAAAAAAAAAAAAAGAAGAAAGAAAGAAAACAGTAGAAAAGAATATACTATGATTTCTCTTCTAAAAAATTAATAATTTATTTTTCTGTATAGTATTTTATGATTAAATATAAAATATATAAAATATGTCTTGAGAACCTTAAGGACAGGAAATTTATATTATTCAAATTTTCTACCTATCTCCCCTCTCCCCAGGACCCAGACTGATCCTTATATGGTCATATAAATATGTGTAGAATGAATAAATAAACAAATGAGTACAAAAATGAAGAAACAAATATATGGTAATTTATTTAGGAAGGAGAATATTAAGAGGTCAATTTAGATCAAACGTGTCCAGATACAATACATATGAAAGTACAGAAAACCAATAAATAAAACCTATGTTAGGAATATAAATCCTAAATTTTAGATAAGTTCTGCCATTCACTATTATAAATTTCAGCAAGTCATATAATCTTTCTAGGTCTCATTGATTTTGATTAGTTCAGTGATTTTCAATCTGAGTTCCACATGTGAAATCCAAGAAGGTGCTGGCTGGGATGTAGAGGGGACAGAGGTACAGCAGATAGAAATCTAGGGTCCTGCCCCCAATTAAACAAAATTATGCAAAAATCCCAAAAGAAGATCAAACCTTGTGGGTTCCAGGACCAGAAGAAGGCACCCTGGCTGGAACACAGTGACTGAGGGAAGGAAGAACAGAATGAGATAGTGCTGGAGAAGGAGATACTGAAGTGTCTTTGTATGCTTTATGATAAGGAATCTGAATAATACATATAGGTCAGTGTTTTCCAACTCTGGCTGTTTATTAAAACCATCTGGAAAACTTCTTAAAGATTCCTAAATTCTAAGCTGATTCAGAATCTGTACAGAATATGAGCTTCTCAGAAGTTCTCTAAATCATTAGTCCCCAATCTTTTTGGTATCATGAACTGGTTTCATGGAAGACAATTTTTCCGCAGACTTGGGAAGGCGTGATAGTTTCAGGATAATTCAAGCACATTACATTTATTGTGCAGGCAAACCTCTCTGCTACTGATAATGTGTATTTGCAGCTGCTCCCCAGCACTAGCATCACTGCCTCAGCTGCACCTCAGATCATCAGGCATTAGATTCTTAAAAGGAGCACACAACCTAGATCCCTTGTATACACAATTTACGGTAGTGATTGTATCCCTATGAGAATCTAATGCCATCGCTAATCTGACAGATGTGGAGCTCAGGCGGTGATGCAAGCAATGGGAAGAAGAGGCTATAAATACAGATGAAGCTTTGCTTGCTCACCTGCCACTCACACGTCCTCCTGTGTGGCCTGATTCCTAACAGGCCATGGACCAGTACCAGTCCATAGCCCAGGGGTTGGGGACTGTAGCTCTAAATGATCGAAAAGTAGGCAAGGCACAGATAGATATTTGAAAACTACTGCTGGGTAATGAGAAACAGCTAAAAGATTTTAAGATAAAGAATAACATACTAAAACACTGCATTTTAGAACATGATTGTGATGGCAATGAGAAGGATAGACTAGAGAAAAGTCATTTCTGGATAAAGTCACTCTGCAGATAGTTACAATATCCTGGGAGAGAGAATAAGGGGCTTGAAATATAAGTATTATAACAGAAATAGATAAAATAAGATAAATCTGAGAGATACTACAGATTTAGGTTTTTTTTTTACTAGAAATTGGTACAATTAAATGAAAAATTGTACCAAAATAAGAGAATACAGAAGGTTGTATAGATTTTAAGGAATATTAGACTGTTATATGTTTGAGGACACTCAGCTGAATTCAGGAGACAATTGTAATTTCAGGACTTGTACTGAGACAAAAAGGCTGAGCTCCAGATATACATTGCAGAACCATTAGTTCATGGAAGACAGATGGAACCATAAACATAAATGTAAGATTGACAAGTGAAAGAATAAAATGTAAAAGAAAAGAAACCTAAGCATATAATCCTGGAAAGTACATTTAAAGCACAAGCAAAAATAAAAGAGTCCCTGAAGGAAATAGAAGAAGAGCCTGAGAAATAGGAGGAAACTCTGAGAAAGGGGTATCACAGAAACTCAGAAAAGCATTTCATGAAGGTGGAAGTAGCCATTGCCAAGTGCTACAAAAAGGCTGAGAAGTGCTAATATAAACAATTAGGAAGTCACCAGTGAGTTGAAGGGTAGAAGCCAGTTTACAATGGGTTAAAGAGTAAATGGAATATGAAATAATGAGAATAGACAATTTTTGAAGAAGCTTACTTACAAAGTGAAGAACACTGACAAGCTAAGAGCTAGAAAGGTCAACATTTAGTAGACTGATAAAAAACTAAAAAAGAATTTGTCCACTAACTGACTTGAAATATAAATAGAATTAATACTCATTTTTGTTAATAATTCCACATTTCGTTTTTGCATCTGGGTTATCAGTTACACGTTGTTCTCTCATTTTCTGCACTTTTGTTAAAATGGTTGTAACTAGCAAGAATAGGTGCAATGGGAATGCAATAATTCACAACTCATACAGTGCATGTTGATTACTTCACATGTATTTTACATATATTTGCAAAACTGTGGAATCAAGAAAGTTGTAATATAATGAAAAGACAAAATGGTCAATTAGCAACTTACTCTTTTCCTCAGCTTCAAGGAAACAATAAAATATACTTTAAATTTATTGTCCACTCTTCAAGACTCCATCTTCCTATCATGTAACATTTAAATGCAGTACCTATATTACAAAGACATTTCAACCATCTGAAAACAAAAGACCGTACTATTATAGGTCATTAAATATGAAATGTCCGATTTAAAATAAAAAATATAGTTTATTGTATCTCAAACAAGAAGCAGTACAATTAATCAAAGTATGTGCCTAAACTATCAACAAAGTTTTGCTATCTTAACAGCAGCTTGTTCATGCCAACAGCTAAGAAACCTGGAGAGTGAGTGGTGATGAAACTGCAAAAGATGTTTTCCACAGCTTGTTGAGGACTGAATATTTTTCCTTGCAAGAAGAGGTCCAAGGCCTGGAAGTTGATGCAAGGTCTGATGAATATGGTGGATGACAGAGAGTTTTCAAGTCCAGCTTCTGTAGTTTGAGCAGCTTTGTGCGACATGTGGTTGAGCGTTGTCTTACAAGAGGATTGGCCTGTCTTCTATTAACAAATCTTGGCTGCTTAATGACAAGCATCCTCATCATTTCATCCACTTTGTTGCAGTAGATAACTGCTGTAATTGATTGAACAGGTTTCATGAAGCTGTAGTGGATAATAGCAGTGCTGGACCACCAAACAGACACCATTGGCTTTTTAGAATGAACACTCGGTTTTGGACTGTGTTTTGGCACTTCATCTTTATCCAACCATTGTGCTGAATGTTTGTGATTGTTGAAAACAATCCATTTTTTGTCACATGTAACAATACAGTGTAGAAACGGTCTGCCTTTATGTCGTGACAGCAAAGAAAGGCAAGCTTCAAGATGATTTCTCTTCTGATGCTCATTTAATTCATACGGAACCCACCTATCCAGTTTCTTTGAGACAGTTTCTCTTCAGATGCTCATTTAATTCATGTGGTACCCATCTATCCAGCTTCTTTACCTTGCCAATTTGTTTCAAATGGTCTAATATTGTTAGAATAGTAATGTCAAACCTTGCTTCTAATTCACTTGGGTGAGATGAATTTGCTTCCACTATAGCTTTCAGCCCATCATTATTCACCCTGATCTCAGGTTGCCCACATGGCTCATTTTCAAGATTTAAATCACCAGAACAGAACTTCTATAACTGTTGACATATTATGCATTCATTAGCCACATCCTTCCCAAACACTTCACTGATATTTCAAGCTGTCCACACAGCACTGATTCCATGATGGAATTCATACTAAAAAATAACACAGATTTTTGATTTATCCATGGTTTAACAAAAATTGCTCTAAAAAATTTTGAAAGATGGCCGGGCGCGGTGGCTCACGCCTGTAATCCTAGCACGCTGGGAGGCCGAGGCGGGCGGATTGCTCAAGGTCAGGAGTTCGAAACCACCCTGAGCAAGAGCGAGACCCCATCTCTACTATAAATAGAAAGAAATTAATTGGCCAACTAATATATATACAAAAAATTAGCCGGGCATGGTGGCACATGCCTGTAGTCCCAGCTACTTGGGAGGCTGAGGCAGGAGGATTGCTTGAGCCCAGGAGCTTGAGGTTGCTGTGAGCTAGGCTGACGCCATGGCACTCACTCTAGCAAAAAAAAAAAAAAAAAAAAAAATTTGAAAGATAATCACAACCAAAAACCATGTGTTAGAAAGAATGAGAATGTACCTTAATAATAAAAATAAAACAAGAAGTGTCAAAGTGAAAATGCCAGAGACATCAACCATCAAACTTAGTGCTTAAGAAATCAGACATTTCATACTTAATGACTTAATTAGCCATAATTACTCTTGAAATGCTTCTTTTGAAATATCTCGATAAGATATACCAAACACTTTTTATCTCTTGGTACTAAAAACCACCCTACTTTTAAAAAGATGGAAGTTGAATAAACTGTAGGCTTTTTATTGAGTAATCAAAACACAAAGTCTGCAACGAATTTTCTAGGATTCATCAATACATCTTCATTACTTTAGGTAAGAATTTAATGAGTTTAATAACTCACAGTTTATGGCACAGTGTGCTATTGCTACTTATATTTTATACATATAGAATCAATGAAACTATTTAATAAAGTTAATTCAATAAAAATGTACAAATTTTTGGAAGCATGGGGAAATTACAATTTAATTGAAACAGTAACTCTTCACCACCACTTAGAACAATTGTTAAAATAACCTTTATACTAACTGGTACATACTGAAGTATCATTCCATTAGTACAGGGACCATATATATCTATCTTGTTCTGGTATCTAGCACAATAACTGGCAAAGAGTGAAATGCTCAATCAATATTTGTGAATGAACAAATTAACAGAAATAATAATAGCTAATAAAATACATA